GAATTCCAGAGTTTATCAAGAAATTTTGCAGGAAAACGTACGACCATCTGTCCGCCAACTGAAGCTCTGCAGAGGATGGGTGATGCAACAGGACAATGACCCAAAGCATACAAGTAATTCAACAAAACAATAGCTGCAACAGCACAGAATACGCCTTTTGGAGTGGCCCAGTCAGAGTCCTGACCTCAACCCGATTGAAATGCTGTGGCATGACCTTAAGAGAGCGATTCACACCAGACATCCCAAGAATATTGCTACACTGAAACAGTTTTGTGAAGAGGAGTGGTCCAAAATTACTCCAGATCGTTGTGCAGGTCTGATCTGCAACTACAGGAAACGTTTGGTTGAGGTTATTGCTGCCAAAGGAGGGTCAACCAGTTATTAAGTCCAAAGGTTCACATACTTTTTCCTTCCTGCACTGTGAATGTTTACATGTTATGTGCAATTAAACCATGGCAACATCTAATGTTTGTGTAGTATTATGTTCAGCATACTGTGTTCTTCTATTGTTGTGACTTAGTTGATGTTCAGAGCACATTTTATGCCCAATTCATGCAAAACTCCACGTAATCCCAAGGGGTTCACATACTTTTTCTTGCAACTGTATATATCCCAGGACTCAAACATTAAGCTATACTCTAGAGAGTTACCAATTTGGTACATGCGGATTCTCCAATTAGAAGGGCAAAGGGAGTGGCGATAGGGTTCAGAAAAAATATAAAATTTTAATTGGACCAAAAGCTGGTAGACCCAGAGGACAGATACCTATTTTTAAGCGATAAATTACAGGGCAAAGAATGTACCCTAGTAAATATTTATTGCCCTAATAAAAACCAGATGACATATTTGAACTGAATATTGGCTAAACTTATGGATTTCAAAAGGGGTAGTATGATTGTGGCAGGTGATTTTAATTTTTGCATGAACCCAGAGATGGATGCCTCAACATGCGTGCGGAGAGGAGATAGGAGCCTAAAGAACATAAAAAAAAATTACATCAATGTCAGCTGATGGATGCCGGGAGGGTTAAACACCCAAAGGAAAGAGACTATACCTTCTTCTGTACGGCGCATAGGATGTATTCAAGACTGGATTATATATTGATTGAACATAGACTTTTGGAGTCTCTGATGAAAACAAATAGAGAAGTAATGTATATATCAGACCATGCCCCTGTCACAATAAGACTACAGTTTGGAAGGGAACAGAAAAGAATAAACTTGTGGCATTTAAATGAGTCCATATTACAAAACCTGGAAGCAGAAATAAGAGTAAAGCAAGAAATAGACTAGTACTTTGAGTTAAACGAATACGAGGAAGTTTCTATTGCCACGATATGGGAAGCATATAAAGTCTATATTAGGGATATACTGATCAGAATAGGGGCGGAGATAAAAAAAAAAAAAGAACGGGGAAAAAAAAATGAAGACATTAACGGAAGAACTATACCAGCTGGAAGAACTACATAGAAAGAAAATAACTAAAGAATTACAACAAGAGAATATTAAAAAAAGAAAAGTTGAAGGAATCTCTGGAACAAGAAACAAGGAAGATTTTTAATGGGGTTTCGAAAGAAAGATATCGGTGGGGGAACAAACCAGGGAAGTATCTGATGAAGTTGAAAGAAGAAATTAAGAAATTTTATAGATGAAATAAAAAATGAAAAAGGTGAAATGGTATATTCAACCACTGATATCGCTAACACATTTCAGAGGCACTATAGCAGTTTATATGGAGTAGAAGGGAAGAACCAGAAAGACTCCAGAGGAGGAGAGGAAGAAAAGGAGGCAGATTTATCTGAACAAAGCTGGTTTACCTAGATTAGATAAAACTAGATTGGCAGCTTTGGACAATCCAATATTAATAGAAGCAAGCAAAATACTTTCTGGTATAGAGGTGCATGTGGTAACACTGGAGCATGGTGACTGGTCCAGTAATGTCACAAGGGGGGTCAAGAGAGTCCACAACCCTGTGTAAGCTCTGACTGGAGTGACTCTGAGGTTACATAAGACTGACATTACTCTCCCCCAGAGCATGAATTGAGTGGTGGAGGAGTAGAGGAAGGAAATAAAGTGGACCTATTGATTTATCCTGGATGCACAAAAGTATAGATTTACCTTTTTTTCTGTTTGCGGTTCAGTTTCACCAGTTACTATTGACACAATAATAGCTTAACAGGAGGAAGTATTAGACTAGGCTCACACTATTGCAGGTGTGGGAAAGCATGTAAATCACATGTGTTCCTGCCAGGGCCATGCTTCCACTAGGCAAATTAGGCGGTTGCCTAGGGTGCACTGCCACCTAGGGGCGCCTAGACACAGCACAGGCCACCACTTTCTCTGTGTGGGACGCAGCCATGTCATGAATGATCCTTCAGCTGAGAGAGGGGAGGAAGAAAGGACAGAGGAAGATACCGGGTGTCTGAGGCTAGGTTAGCAGCTAGGCTGCCTCTCCTTCCAGTGTTCCTCTCAGATTCAGTCCCTTACTGCAAGCCGGCTGGCCACTGCTAATCACTGTGGAGTTCCAGCCATTCTCTTCCCATTCATCAGCAGAGGCAGAGCTGCTCCTGCGGAGGAAGGAAGTGTCTGACTCTGATGTCTCGAGTCTGTGCTAGAGTGGCCCGGCCAGCCGGACACCCATCACATGTGCAATGTGTCAGTGAGTGATGACATCATCCCACAGCCTGCTCTTCTAGTGCCTGTTGATCGGTGTCAGTGTTGGTGGTGGTGTGTGTTGTGTCAGATCTGTCACTGTGTGGGATTGCTCAGTTCAACTGCCTGCTGTCAGTGTTTTTATCTCCCCCCATTGCCTGCGGAATTCCAGCTCTGTCAGAATATGGATCCATCATCCTCCACTCACTGCAACTGTCACCCAGCCACTGCCAGCCAAAGATACAGTCCATCCGTGACAATGATTTTGTTTTTAATATTGGTGCTGGTGGCATTTTATGGCACTCATTTTTTAAATGAAATGTAGCAGTTTCATGTATTGTTGATTTACTATTTTCTTCTGTTACACTGTTCAACAGGTAAAAAGTTTTGGGCATAAAATTAGCTAATCTTACATAATTTTGGGGTGCTTGAAAACGAAAATGACCCTAAAAAATGTTGATTGGCTCTAGTTTCCATGATATATTCACCCATCTAATGACGTAAGCCATTCAAAATTATGATGCAACTTCAGCTGCATATTGCGCAATTGATACTGGTGACCAATAGAAAATTGCATGTATACTGAGATGATGCAATATTAGCCTTTAATTGCATCACTTCACTGCATAAAAGCTGCAGTATCTGTAGCTGATTGTAGTTCGACAGCGTCTTTACATTTCGTTTTATGCTTATATAGGCTACTCAGTAATGCCTCGAACTTGTGTGAATAAAGCAGATAATTTCTGCTATATCTGTGGTGAAATAACTTTTATCTCACAAAAAAGGAGGATAACAGGAATGATTAAGAAAGCCTACAACTTGTATTTTGGCTGCAAGATAGGAGACCAGGACAAGAGCTGGGCACCACATATATGCTGCAATTCTTGTGGGACGGCACTGGAGCAATGGTTGAATGGAAAAAAGGCATCTATGCCTTTCGCTGTGCCAATGATTTGGAGAGAGCCAACAGATCATGTTAGTAATTGTTACTTTTGTATGGTGCCTCCAATTGTAAAAGGGCTAAATAAGAAGAAAATGTTATCTGTGCACTATCCAAATATTCCATCGGCAATACGTCCAGTTCCTCATGGAGAGGGGCTACCAATTCCTAAAGCACCAGAATCCTTCGTGGTTGAGTCAAGTGAGGAAGAACCTGAAGCGTGTAGTCACGTGCAGTTGTAAGAGATAGCCCTTTCCTCGAAAACAAGAGAAAAGCCAAGAGAAGCAAAACCGACACAAACTGAAGACAAAACTAGTGAGAATCCTAAGTATTAAAATGATTCAACTTAGCTTATGGCTATAATTTTTCTTGGTAATCCTATGCAATATATTATGCCATTTAGGCTTTGTTATGTAGTCAATATCACTTGCTTTTATATTTGTGGAAAGACATCTATCTATATAATTATTGTGCATTATGTAGTCATTACGCCTATAGTAGAAAACTTTCCGTTTACAGAAAAACTAGAGCCAATTGACAAATTTCATTGTTATATTTGAACTCAGAATGTGAAATTCATTAAGAAATGGATCCTTTTGTTTCCAAAACTGGCAAAAAATAAAAATTTGTTGAACAGTGTTATTAAAAAAAATTAATTAAGTAGCTGGTCTTGCCTAGGGCACAAAATAGTCTAGCAGGCCCTAGTGCTGCGGTTTAGAGGTGACATTAATTCTTAAAACATCACATTTTCCAGTATGTAGAAGTGCATCATACCATATGGTTTCCGTGCGGCTGCAAATTTAGAATAGGACCAGGGACCTTTTCCCTGTGTTTGCAGCAGGTACAGCAGCCCATGACACAGTGTCTGTGCATAAGTGTGACTCAAACCGTCTCTACAAAATGACACCAAACTATTGTCCTCCTTACAAGTGTCATGGTGACAGGAATATCTGCAACAGCACTCAGACAGAAGGTAGGACTTCAAATTGCATTTTAAATGTACCAAAGAATGAGAAAAAGTAGGTTTATCTTGCCTATCTAACCTCTGATGCTCAAGTGTTAGGTGAAATTAATTTGCCTTCCAGGGGTACACCAACATCTCTGCATTGCAAATTAATTGTAACTAATACCCTGAAAGCTCTTCTGCAGGAAGGTTTCTTAGTCCAGTAACCGTGGATTTTGGTTTCTAAAAGAAGCATTATACAGTTGTAACATGTATTCTTGGAACACTGTGAGCAATGCCCCATGACAAGAGAATACTGGGGATATGTTCACAGACTATGCCCTCCGCATTTATTTATAATGTATGCTGGTCATACAAAGGATTTTCATTAAAACTAAGAACGTAAAGTCAGCTTTATTATATATTTAATCAAACAGATATCTGATCATTGTGTCAAACCTCATACCTTTCTTAAATTTATGTATGGGAAGTTTTTTTAGCTGATCCTTGCCCAGTCTGTTCCTTCGTGCTCTATGTCGATCCTGTACAAACTTGGTGATCTGTTTGTGAAGAGTGGAGGAAAGCAGTCAATATATATACTATTAATATACAGAATAAAATACTTTATTATAAATTATTGTGTAGCCATAGCAGATCAGGGAAGTGTCGGTACAAAATTCTCTGGCATCCAAGGCAAGAATGCCAAAGTGTATTGACCCCCCCCCCCCCCCTTTCCAGGCTCTCTAATTTAACTAACATGAGTTTGAAAAAAAAAAAAAAAAAAAAAAAACACTGAGGAACTAAGGGGTGAAAGTGGCTCTAAAGCCTCAAGTTTATTTACTTTAATGCATTCTATGCATTAAGGTAAAAAAAACTTTTGTGTAACAGAATGCTCCCCCTGCCCCCCTTATACTTACCTGAGCCCCATTGCGATCAATTGCTGTGCATGAGAGCTGCGGCTCTCCTGGCTTTGTCCCTCCTCATTGGGACAGATCGATAGCAGCGGGAGCCATTGGCTCCCACTCCTGTCAATCAACCCCAGTGACGAGGGAACAAGGGGTGGGTCAAGTACCACTGTCTGTGTCAATGGACGCAGCAGCAGGACTAGGGGGCAAGCGCACGTGTACCCCCATGGGAATCCGCTTCCTATTAGGGGCACCAGCAAGAGAGGAGGATCCAGGACTGCCAGCGGGGGTCCCAAGAAGAGGAGGATCGGGGCTGCTCTGTGCAATTTTATTGCACAAGGCAGATAAGTATAGACATGTTTGTTATTATATTTTCCTTTATAATAAGAATTATAGTGTAACTATGGCCAAAATAAAAAATGGCATGAGATTTCACCTGTCACTAGGATTAACACGTTTAATGGTTGGATCAAACCATTTAAAACTGACAGGGCTGCTTACAAATGGTCAGCATTTATTATGTAAAACTTTTATCCCAAAAGTAAAAAAAATAACTACTGCTGTAACTGCTAAAAAAAAAAAGCGTTAGTTGGGAGTTCTGCTCTAAAATGTTAGACATCGGAACTTTTTTGATTATATTTTGATTATATTTATTAACAATTTACTATCCGATTTTAGATGGGATATTTATTGATCTTAATTATCTACTGATTTTATCGAGTTGTTTGGATATCATTCATTTTAGCGCTGCACTTTTTTATATATTAAATAAATACACACACACACCTTTAAAAGAAGTACTCGCCCCCTTCGTTTTTTTTTTTTTTGTTTTTTTTTGCATATTTGTCACACTTAATTGATTCAGATCATCAAACAAATTTTAATATTACTCATATAACCTGAGTAAATACAAAATTGCAGTTTTTAAAATTATTTCATTTCCTAAGGGGAAAAGGTTGTCCAAACCTGCCTGGCTCTATGTGAAAAAGTAATTGCCCCCTAAATCTAAAACCTGGTTGTGCCACGCTTGGCGGCAACAACTACAATCAAACACCTGCGATACCTGACGAAAAGTCTTTCACATCGCTGTAGAGGAATTTTGGCCACTCTTCTTTGCAGAACTGTTTTAATTCAGTCACATTGGAAGGTTTCCAAGCATGAACAGCCTGTTTAAAGGTCATGCCACAGCATCTCAATCGGATTTAAGTCCGAACTTTGACTAGGCTGCACTAAAACCTTCATTTTTTTTTTTTCCTTGAACCATTTAGAGGTGGACTTGCTGGAGTGTTTCGGATCATTGTACTGCTGCGTAACCCGAGTGTGCTTGAGTTTGAAGTCACAAACTGATGGCTGGACATTCTCCATGATTTTCTGGTAAAGCGCAGAATTCATGGTTTCAATAATTATGGCAAATCGTCCAGGTCCTAAAGCTGTAAAGCAGCTCCAGACATCACACTACCACCACGTTTGACTGTTGTTCTTTTTAAGAACTCTGTGGTAATTTTATGCCAGATATAACAGAATGCACACCTTCCAAAAAGTTCAATCTTTGCCTCATCAGTCTACAGAATATTTGCCCAAAATATTGGGATTAATCTAGATGTTTTTTGGCAAAAGTGAGGCAAGCCTTTATGCTCTTTTTGGTCAGCAGTGGCTTTTGCCTTGGAATGCTCGCTTGGATGCCATTTTTGCCCAGTCTCTTTCTTATTGTTATGTCTTGAACACTGAACTTAACTGAGACAATTGAGGCCTGCAGTTCTTTGGATGTTGTTCTGGGTTCTTTTATGACCTTCTGGATGAGTCGTCATAGTGCTCTTGGATCAATTTTGGTAGGGTGGCCACCACTGTTCCACGTTTTCTTCATTTGTAGATAATACTTCTTACCGTGGTTCGCAGGAGTCCCAAAGCCTTGAAATGGCTTTGTAACTCTTTCCAGACTGATACATGTCAATTACTTTGTTTTTCATTTGTTCTCGAATTTCTTTAGAGGCGTTGCTTTTTGAGATCTTTTAGCGAGCTTCACTTTGTCAGATAGCTTCTATTTAAGTGATTTCTTGATTCAACATGCCTGGCCGCAATCAGGCCTTGGTGTGGAAAGTGAAATTTAACCCAGGTTTCTGAGAAATGTGGTTAGTCACAGTTAATTCATGATTTAGCAAGTTGGGCCATTACTTTTTTACATAGGGCCAGGCAGGTTTGGAGAGCTTTTTCCCTTAATAAATGAAACCATCATTAAAAAAAGGAATTTTGTATTTATTCAGGTTATCTTTGTGTAACATTAAAATTTATTTGATGATCGGAATCAATTAAGTATTACAAATATGCGGGGGGGAATCAGGAAGGGGGTACATACTTTTTCACACTGTATTTACACAGTATATTATGCACTGCTTTATGGAGTATATACACCATAAAGCTGCCATCTTTGCTCCCCTGTATAAAAGATTTCTAAAAGAAAAAAAAAAAAAAAGACTTTTCAAAAAAAGTTTAAGCCTTCTCAGAAATGGCCTATGGTAAGAAACCGATATTGTTTTTTTCTCCACAATCACAACAGAGGATGACTTCATATTACTCCAAGACATTTTTAGGCACACAAGCAGTCAGATAGCCTTCTGTTCTATTAAAAACGCTCATGTGTACAGATACTCAAGGCCCCAGTTGCCATACCATTGCTTTTGAAGAAAAAAAAAAAAAAAAAGGCACAAATTTATAAAGCACAGTAGAGTGCTTTACAGATGTGCATTGCACTCTGAAGCAAGCATAGCACAACTAACTAAAATGAAAAAAGCTGGGAAGAAAAAAAGCTTGGTCATACAGGTGAAACTCGAAAAATTAGAATATCGTGCAAAAGTTCATTTATTTCAGTAATGCAACTTAAAAGGTGAAACTAATATATGAGATAGACTCATTACATGCAAAGCAAGCACAGTTCAAGCTGTGATTTGTCATAATTGGGATGATTATGGCTTACAGCTCATGAAAACCCCAAATCCACAATCTCAGAAAATTAGAATATTGTGAAAAGATGCAATATTCTAGGCTCAAAGTGTCCCACTATAATCAGCTAATTAAGCCATAACACCTGCAAAGGGTTCCTGAGCCTTTAAATGGTCTCTCAGTCTGGTTCAGTAGGAATCACAATCATGGGAAAGACTGCTGACCTGGCAGTTGTGCAGAAAACCATCATTGACGCCCTCCACAAGGCGGGAAAGCCTCAAAAGGTAATTGCAAAAGAAGTTGGATGTTCCCAAAGTGCTGTATCAAAGCACATTAATAGAAAGTTGTGTGGAAGGGAAAAGTGTGGAAGAAAGGTGCACAAGCAGCAGGGATGACCGCAGCCTGGAGAGGATTGTCAGGAAAAGGCCATTCAAAAGCGTTGGGGACTTTAACAAGGAGTGAATTAAGGCTGGAGTCAGTGCATCAAGAGCCACCACACACAGACGGATCCTGGACATGGGCTCAGAAGAGCTGAAGACTGCTATTGAAGCATCCTGGTCTTCCATAACACCTCAGCAGTACCACAGGCTGATAGCTTCCATGCCACGCTGCATTGAGGCAGTAATTGCTGCAAAAGGGGCCCAAACCAAGTACTGAGTACATATGCATGCTTATACTTTTCAGAGGTCGGATATTGTTCTATGTACAATCCTTGTTTTATTGATTGCATGTAATATTCTAATTTTCTGAGATTGTGGATTTGGGGTTTTCATGAGCTGTAAGCCATAATCATCCCAATTATGACAAATCACGACTTGAACTATCTTGCTTTGCATGTAATGAGTCCCATATATTAGTTTCACCTTTTAAGTTGCATTACTTAAATAAATGAACTTTTACACGATATTCTAATTTTTCGAGTTTCACCTGTATAGCCTGTCAATCATGTGACCAGCCTCCCCTCCAATCATATACTTTGTTCTGCAGCAATAAAGCAGAACTAAGCCTAATTGCAGAAATAAATTAAAACTGCGCACAGGCAGCTCTTTATTGACTTAGAGACATACTATGTCACGACTGATTCCCATGTGCATATGCGGGATGATGTTATCCTCCATCAATAGGCCAATCAGGAAGCAAAAAAACAGGGGCACCGGGGGAAGAGGACAACAACAGCCAGAAAGGGGTACAAAAAGCACATCGTTGGAAGGTAGAAGTGAGTATATTCAGGAGTTTACTTCTGCTTTAGACAGAAAGAACTGCATTTTCACACCATAGACTCCACACCTCAGTCTGCATTTTATGAAAGGGATGCACAATGCAGGCCACAGTTAGAAGTAACTTTGCAGTGTCTAGGAGATTTCACTATCCACTGTCTGCTATACCTAGCCCCATTAGAACTCCATTTATATGTCAGCAGTATGGTCAGGTGCTTTCATATTCAAAGAGCCTCTGTCACATTTATAAAGCACTGTTTTGTGCTTTGCTTGTTTGGGGACTCTAAAGCCCCATTTGTTCTCCTAGGAATGAGGATTGAAATGGGGGAAAGTCGGGAGAGGAAAATGTAAACATGACCTGTTCAAGATCACGTGGGCACTTCTCTCTGATAAATGAGGCACCACACTGCATTCTTAATGTTATCACAAAATGTGAAATACAGTGCAGTATGGAGCATTTCTAGAGATGTCCTTCGTGTGTGCAGAGTTGGGAAACTGTATTTTAAAAAATAGGCCACTTAAAGACACAAAAATGCACTGGGGTGCCTCTGCTTGAGCTGCATACACAGATGACAGTCATTTCCCCCCATGAACTGTGGTCCAAATTCACTTTAGTGTGTTAAGTTCCAATATTTTCTTTTTAAGCAGAAATGTAACACAGCAGGGTTCCTGCAGAGAACCAAGTGGGGGTTTTCTATTTTAACTCAGCAGACAGCTATGGGGGGGGGGGATTACTATCTGCAATAGAATTCTTGAGGATGATGAGGCAGTGCCAGCATTGAGAGGAAGTGACTCAAGCTGCACAGCAGCTCTAAAGGGTAAGACAAGCAGAAGCCCATTCTCCTGTGCACAATGTAACCCAAAGCTGAATACACAATCCAAAAGGTTATCCTTATTAACAAAAACCAACTGATACCTACCATAAAAATGACAATGAGCACTAGGCAAATCCCGACTATAATTAGGAATGGTATTAAGTAGTATTCCAGTGGCATGGCAGCTTCAGGAACTAACAAAAGATGAGCGCTACACAAAAAGCAAACAAAATTAATTTAGAATCCAGAGAACAAATCAGAAAAGCAAAAACACAGCAACAAAAAACTTAAAATATCTGTTCAATTGCCTAGGTAAACTGCTATTAAAATGGTAGCGTAAAATAAAAATGTTCTCTATGTGTGATCTATTTAGTTCATCTACTATTATGTCCAATATACTGGAGGTGTACAGTAGGTACCAGCCCAGTACAAAATTCTATCCAGACCTGCAGAAGTATTAGATGTTAATATGTGAATTAAAAAAAAATATTTACCTGCAAATTAATTTACCATGGATTCTACTTGGACAATCTTAAGTGTGAGCGAAAAAATGAGATCTAGGATCCAAACAGTAGAAAAATGTAGCAATATATTTTATTTGACAATATCAATTAAAACAAAAAAAAAAAAAGTGGGGTGAATCATGAATTATAAATCCCTAAAATGTGGCCCGCCAACCCTATGTCCTTGTCTGACAGCACACTTACAGTGTCTGCAGTAATATACTGTAATGACTATGAAATGTGTTGGCCTTGGACCCTTTGTTTCTTGGGTAATTTTTACAATAAAGCATTGTTGCCCAAATGCCAGGAGCATGAGAAGTGACTGATGTCATTTCTCTAGGCTAAAGGAACAGAGTCACAAGATATTAGACTGCTTAAACCAAGATAAGAACGTGTTCCTGGGATTAACTAGTGTTTATGACATCTAGAAATGTTACACTAGAAGATAAGAACTTGTTTAAAGATGTCTACTTGCTTCAGAAGTTAGAAATCTTCAAATTTAGGGTAGATAAGAAGTTGATCTGAAGCAAAAGTGTGTCTCCTTAGATAATGTTTATTCAATATAGTGGCTGGGCTTGACTCTGTTATCTTCATGGAACCTTTCTGGTAGCTCCTCCTAGAGTAGGTGTGGCGACCGTCCACTTCGGGAAAAATACCAGGAAAAAGGGTTTAAAAACTGGGAGTTTAAACTGGATCGATGGGAGCCTTCCTAGCAGCAGGGGACATTCTGATGCTGGGACTCTTGCCAAGGCTATATGGGCTCATCGATTGGTAGCGTTTACGGCTTCCCCGTGACCCCCTGTGCAGTATGGTTCTGATGGGCTCTGTTCCTTCCTGTCTTCCCATAGCTTTGGTAATGTATTAATTGTATGCTGTGACGCTGTAAAAAGATTTGTATATTTCATGCTGTAATGCTCACATTATTATTGGTGTGTGTTATGCAGGTTATGATGACCATAAGATATATCCTCCTGTGTGTCGTGTGATAATAAAAGTGGAGGTTTTGACAGTGCAAGAAGATTGCAGTTGGATTCTGTTATTTCTTGGAGTGCCGAGTGAATGCTATGATGAGCCAGAGCAGGTGTTAATTTGGTAGAGGGTCTTTCACATGCTTACCGTATTTTTCGCCGTATAAGACGCACTTTTTCTTCCCCAAAACTGGGGGGGAAATGTCAGTGCGTCTTATGGGGCGAATATGGAGCGGCTGGTCCGGTATTTCCACCGCGGCTGTGTCAGAATACCGGGCCGGCCGCTCAGCTCTGCAGCGGGACCTTACCTGTTCCTCTATCTAGCGGCGTGCTGTCTTCCCGGCTTCTGTAGTGTGGGCACTGGCCATGACAGCCGGGTGCCAAGTGCGCATGCGCAAGAAGCGGTGCTTTTTGTGAATGGTAAGGCGGTACCTGGGACACATGACAGATCCCAGAAGCCACCGGACCAATCACAAAGCGCAAGTGCTTCTCGCTCATGCGCACTGGGCACCCGGCTGTCATGCCGAGCGCCATTACAGAAGCCGGGAAGACAGCGCGCGGCTGGATCGAGGAACAGGTAAGATCAAACAAAAACTGCGGAAGTAAGAGCGGGTACCTGTCAAATTCAGGTACCCGCTCCCCACCTCCCCAAAGGCGAGCAGTCATCTGTGCTGTCCGCAGTCTCTGGTCATCCCTGTGCTGTCCGCAGTCTCTGGTCATCCCTGTGCTGTCCGCAGTCTCTGGTCATCCCTGTGCTGTCCGCAGTCTCTGTGGTCATCCCTGTGCTGTCCGCAGTCTCTGGTCATCCCTGTGCTGTCCGCAGTCTCTGGTCATCCCTGTGCTGTCCGCAGTCTCTGGTCATCCCTGTGCTTGCTGCAGTCTCTGGTCATCCCTGTGCTTGCTGCAGTCTCTGGTCATCCCTGTGCTTGCTGCAGTCTCTGGTCATCTCCTGTACTGTGTCTGCAGTCCATTAGTTCAGAATTTTTTTTTCCTGTTTTCTGCCTCTAAAACCTAGGTGCGTCTTATGGGGCGAAAAATACGGTAGATTAATTAATGGTGTAAAAGCTGGTTAAAAGTACCTGCGTGACTACCTGTCTATTGTGTGTGTATATGACTTGCTTTTACTTATTGCATCCAGCATTACATATACTTAAACTGAATCATAAAATGTATCAGAACTATACTGTACTAGGTGCCAGATTACACAGTTTTATTCACTGCAAAATACATTCTCAAATATTCCTGGTGATAATTGTAGCCATTCCTAAATCAACATGGTGTAGATCCCCCAAAACTGTTCATATTAATGTTGATGAATTGGGTGGTAATAGCAGGAATCCATGTAGAAAGTGATAATTCCGAAAGATATCTATAAAACAGTTGCACAAATTTTGCAATATGACTTTAAGAAGTAATTTGTAGTAGTATCAGATTGATAAGCACAGTAACACAGGTTGCAGATAGGAGAACATGATAAATATGACCCTAATGGTGAGGTTGCATGCCAAATAACTTTATGCACACATTAACAGAAACAGCATGTCGCCTCTGCCACATAAAATAGTAGATGCATACAAGTGTAAATTAAGGGGTGGCTTGGCACCATTTACATCCTTAAAATGGATGCAAGATGTAACATGGTAAGACAGTTGGAGTTAGTCTTTCAGTCTGAAAACTGGCCATGTAGGAGACAAATGCTTAATGGGCAGTGATTGACAGCACTGGCCTTGGGTACTAGGCACTAGGCACTTGCCCAAGACCAGTGCTGCCTTAACAAAAGCAAAGGAATATGCCAGAAAAGGGGACACGACAACCAGTGGGAAGGAACAGTGGCGTGTGGCCATTTTTTTTTATTGTGTTATGGGGAGGAAGGCAGAGCAACTGTGGCCAGAGGGAGGAGCTGTGTCTGCCGGGAGGAAGAAACAGCGGTGTGCAGAAAGATCCTGGCAGGCATAACACCTGCAGCTGGTTATTGTTTATTACTCCTAAAGTGGCATAAATGCATAGGGCAGAATGGGGTAGATGAAGAAGATACCATCTACAACATGGTAAGTTTTTTTTATTGTAGGTGGTTCTAGAGCCACTGTTAACAACACAGGATTTTCTGACAGGCATGCCCACAGCAAAGGGGGTGGTAACAACAGAGTTCTTCAAATCCACACAGAGAATGCCCATGAATCGGGCTTCATGCAGGGAGCGGGGATAACAGACAGTACTAACAGTCAGAAAGGTGTGAATTACTTAAGAATTGTCACTTTGTACAAAGATAAATATTTATTCATGACTCAATAGATGTACAGTTACATTTTTTTGCTGCTGAGACTTCATCTTTAAGAACCAGCTGTTTGAAAGTAGTGCCACGAAGGAGCATTGTCTTAAAGCAGGTTGCCCCTTTATAGCACAACATAGCTCTAAACTCCAGGTTAACAAAATCAAGTACCAGAGTAACTCAAAGTCATTTTCTTGCTGCTTTCAAGCCCACAGTACTGTATGCATGGTAGATCTATTGGGATTTTTATGTGATAGACCAAAAACAAAGTGGTACATAATTGTGAAGTGGAAGGAAAATGATAAATGGTTTTTGATTTTTTTTTTTAACAAATAACTGAAAAGTGTGGTGTGCATTTGTATTCAGCCCCCCTGAGTTGATACTTTGTAGAACCACCTTTTGCTGCAATTACATTAGCTACTAATGATCTACTAACTGCTAAAACCAATGGTCACTACTCCATACTCTTACTACTTGACCTCTCTGCGGCTTTTGATACTGTTGACCATCCCCTCCTCCTCAAAAAAAACTCCACTCTCTTGGCCTCCAAGACTCTGCTCTCTCCTGTCTCTCCTCCTACTCCTTCAGCGTTACCTATAACTCTGTCTCCTCCACTCCCTCTTTCTGTAGGAGTCCCTCAAGGTTCTTTCCTTGGACCCCTTCTCTTCTCCATCTACACCTCCTCCCTTGGTCACTTGATAAACCCCCATGGCTTTAAGTACCATCTCTATGCTGATGACACACTAATCTATCTTTCTACTACTCACCTCGCCCCTTCAGTCTCCTATCGCATTATTAACCTACTAAGTGACATATTGGCATGGATGTTACTCCAGTTCCTCAAACTCAATCTGTCCAAAACTGAGCTCATACTGATCCCTCCAGCCCATACCCCCTCCCGACTTCTCGATCAAGATCAATAATACAACCATCAGTCCCTGCCGTCATGCCAGGGTGCTAGGTGTAATCCTAGACTCCTATCTGTCCTTTCAGCCCAAATCCAAATCGCTGTCCAAATCTTGTAGACTTTACCTCCACAACATCTCCAAGATATGGCCAATCTTAACCTCTGAAACTACTAGGAAAATTATTCACTCCCTGGTTATCTCTCAACTTGACTATTGTAACTTCCTCCTCATTGGCCTACCTCATCGCAGGCTATCCCCTCTTCAGTCTATCATGAATGCTGCTGCTAGATTCATCCACCTTACTAACTGTTCCATATCTGCCACCCCTCTCTGCCAATCCCTCCACTGGCTTCTCATAAAATTCAAAACATTAACAATAACATATAAAGCCATTTATAACTCTGCCCCAAATTACATCACCAATCTTGTCTCCAAATATCACCCAAACCGTACTCTCTGCTCCTCCATGACCTCCTGCTCTCTAGCTCCCTTGTCTCCTCCTCCCATGCTAGTCTCCAGGACTTCTCCAGAGCTTCCCCCATCCTCTGCAACTTTCTACCCCAATTTATCAGACTATCGCCTACTCTGCTCACTTTTAAACAATCTCTGAAAACCTCTCTCTTCAGGGAAGCCTATCTTGCCCATAGCTAATAATGGAATCTTCTATTCCTTCTACTAGTCCACCCCCCACAGTTATCTTTTCTACCACTAGCCCCTCCCTCTTAGATTTTAAGCTCCAAAAAAGCAGGGCCCTCCTAACCCTCTTGTATTGAACTGTATTGTTGCTGTATTGTCTCCCGTCATATTGTAAAGTGCTAAGCAAACTGTTGGCGCTATATAAATCTTGTATAATAATAAAGTCTTTTTGAGGATGTCTTTACCAGCTATGCACATCTAGAGTGAAATTTTTCCCCATTCTTCTTTACAATATAGCTCAAGCTCTCTCAGATTGGATGTAGAGCGTCTGTGAACAGTAATTTTCATGTCTTTCCACATATTCTCAATTGGATTTAGGTCTGGACTTTGACTAGGCCATTCTAACACATGAATATGCTTTGATCTAAACCATTCCATTGTAGCTCAGGCTGTATGTTTAGAGTCGTTGTCCTGTTGAAAGGTGAACCTCCACCCCAGTCTCAAGTCTTTTGCAGACTTGAACAGGTTGTCTTCTAAGATTGCCCTGTATTTGGCTCCAATCATCTTCCCATCAACTCTGACCAGCTTCCCTGTCCCTGCTGAAGAAATGCATCCCAACATGATGCTGCCACCACCATGTTTCACGGTGGGGATGGTTTGTTCAGGGTGATGTGCAGTGTTAGTTTTCCACCACACACAGCATTTTGCTTTTAGGCCAAAAAAGTTAAATTTTGACCAGAGCACCTTCTTCCACATGTTTGTTGTGTCCCCCACATGGCTTCTTACAAACTGCAAACGGGACTTCTTATGGTTTTCTTCTTGTCACTCTTCCATAAAGGCCAGATTTGTGAAGTGCAAGACTAATAGTTGTCCTGTGAACAGTTTCTCCCACATGAACTGTGGATCTCTGCAGCTCCTCCAGGGTTGCCAAGGGCCTCTTGGCTGTTTCTCCGATTAATGCTCTCCTTGCCCAGCCTATCGGTTTAGGTGGATAGCCATGTCTTGGTTGGTTTGCAGTTGTGCCATGCTCTTCTATTTTTGGATGATGGATTGAGCATAGCTCCGTGAAATGTTCAAAGCTTGGGATATTTTTTTTTTTTTTAAAACCTAACCCTGCTTTAAAACTTCTCCACAACTTTATCCCTGACCTGTCTGGTGTGTTCCTTGGCCTTCGTGATGCTGCTTGTTCACTAATGTTCTGTAACAAACCTCTAAGGGCTTCACAGAACAGCTGTATTTATACTGAGAATAAATTACACACAAGTGGACTCTATTTACTAATTAGGTGACTTCTGAAGTCTGACTCATTTTAGTGAGGGGTATCAGAGTAAAGGGGGCTGAATATAAATGCACGCCACACTTTTCAGATATGGATTTGTAAAAAATGTAAAAAACCATTTATCATTTTCCTTCCACTTAACAAATATGTGCCACTTTGTGTTGGTCTATCACATAAAATCTCAATAAAATACATTTACGTTTTTGGTTGTAACATGACAAAATGTGGAAAATTTCAATGGGTATGAATACTTTTTCAAGGCACTGTACATTGTAATAGGCATGTGTGCAGAAGGACTGTTTTCTTAAAGCAAATTAAAAAATAAAAAAGGAACTATATTTTTACAATGCCCACTCAAAAAGCAACTGCTGAGGTTTTGTGTACTTTTAATCTGCAAGTGTGGGAACCGATTGAGCCTACAGAGCCGGTTTTCCTTAATACAGACAAGGAGAAATAGCTGACCAACAACTTGATTACAGCAGGGCTGTGTGTCACAGAAAAATAGAGAGTCATGGAAGGAAAAAAGTAAGATTTACCAACCCTTTATCCCAGGTAAATCCTTCCTGCAATATTCGTGCAGAAGACTCTCCAATAAACACTGATGGAATGTCAATTTTCTTCAGAATGTCAACTGAAACACAAGAATATCGAGCAATCAATCACACAATGTGTCACATGTACTGGGCCTTGTGCCCTGGCGACAGAGGAATCAACCAGAGGCTTTCTGAAAAACATCTTGTTAAGATCTTTAAATGTACTAATTCATTAAGTGTCAAACAAAAGTATTTAATCTCATCCCGGTTTCCAAAATAACTTACAATTGAACCCTTCTATCACAGCCAGAGATGTACAATAAACACATTTGGGTGAGAGCAGATTAAATTTAGGGCTCCTGCCACTGGTGGCTTGGTTTGTACTGCATAAAAACCTGGCTTTTTTTGGTGACCGGGAAGCACAGGTGCTGTGTACAACCCACTGATAGCAGCTTGTCTAAAACCATGACAGGGTTCAAAACATGGCTGCTGTATGCAGCTGAACGTTGTTTTGAGCAGTACACACGTTTAGGACTTCATCCATCCAGGGAAGTATGCCCTGAATGCAAAAATTTTGTGTTCAGGTTAGAAGTCTCTGAACGCATACAGCCCTAAACACATACATCAGTACAGTGTCCAGTTGCCCCATATTTTAACCTGTCATTAATATTAACCAGTTCCCACATCCCGCAATTTACCGCAGACAGGCGGCCGCTGTAGGAAAAGCGACATACCTGTATGTCACTGCCTACTTCGAGGTGTAAGGGAGCCTGTCAGCGAGTCCCGACCAATGATTCACAGCCGGGACCTGCTGATTGGCTGTGTGCAATCACAGCCCAGAGCTCTGTGTTGGTGAGAAACAGAGATATAGTAGTAAAAGCAGCACAGTTTACACACGTTACATAAAATTAGGCACACATTTAACTCCTTGAATCACCCTAGATTTTAACTCCTTCCAATCCAGTGTAATTAACCACTTGCCTACTGGGCACTTTTACCCCCTATGTGCCCAGGCCAATTTTCAGCTTTCATCACTTTGAATGACAATTGCGCAGTCATGCAACACTGTACCCATATGAAATTTTTATCATTTTTTTCACACAAATAGAGCTTTCTTTTGGTGATATTTAATCGCCACTGGATGTTTTATTTTTGCACTACAAACAAAAAAAAGAGCAATATTTTTGTTTCTATTGTAAAATTTTTCAAACAAGTAATTTTTCTCCTTCACTGATGTGCATTGATGAGGCTGCACTGATAGGCAGCACTGCTGAGGAGGCACTGGTAGGCATTGATAAGGAGGCACTGATGCTGCTGCACTGATATGCAGCAATGATGGGCAACACTGACGAGTGGCACAACTGCTGGGCAGCACTGCAGGGCACTGATCATCAGTACCAATCTGCTCTGTGACAGCTGTCAGTTATCGGCAGTACTTTCCCCACGCTGTAGTGCTGCCGATAACCGGCAACTGTATTTACTCGGTGACCTGCTGTGTCACTGGACACAACTGATCACGTGATAAAAGGACGCTGTAATTGGCCTTTTACCTCTTCATGTGATTAGCTGTGTCGTTTTGACACAGAGAACGCCGGGTGCGTGCCTCCGGGGGCACACATTCTGGGAGGATGTTATATGATACTCTCCCAGAACTGGACAACTGCGCTGTAGCCATCATTCGGAATACATTTTGGCCAAAATATATGAAATTTGATTTTCAGTCTTTTTTCATTTATATTGAAAAAAAATTAAAAAACCAGTGGTGATCAAATACCACCAAAAGAAAGTGTGAATTTTTTTTTTTTTTTTTTTTTATAAAACTTTGTTTGGGTACAGCATTGCATGACCATGCAATCATCAGTTTGAATAGCGCAGTGCCGAATAGCAAAAAATATCCTGGTCCAGAAGGGTGTAAATTATTAATGGACTGCATGCAGCAGGCTATACACTCCACCTGTGCTCCCTTGCATCAAACAGACTTTTTTCTACTGTACAAGCCAAACCAACTGTGTATATGAGCCCTAATGGGTATATAAGAGCAATTATTTTTAAAGGGTAAGGAAGGGCTAGATACTTCTGTCAAGTTTTTATTGCCATGATTCCCAATGGCACAATCTGTCCTTGTATGTGTACTGATGGCAATTATCACCAAGACAGAATTGCAAATGGAAATCCAAAATTGACACACGGGCGTAGCTTAGCAGCAGTAAGCCGTCTTGCACTACTGCCAGGCTACTGGAGTGGGGGTGGAGTTGTGGGGGTCCTTCTGGCCAGTCCCAGGAAAGTGATGCACAGCAGGCTCCAGTTTTCCCATAAATACTAAGCAGCAGCCAGAGCACTCCTCTTGCTGGGATCTTATTATCTACAGTATTGCTGTAGCTACACACTGCCCTCACCCCGAAAACCTCTCTCTGCTGTCTAGCAAGCTCAGTGCTGCCTCAGTGATTATTTTTCTTTCATTGATAACTAGTTTGAAACTGACTGTTGCAAATTTGTATACATTCTGATTGGTGTGTGCATTCATGTGATACCTGTGCACAAATGTCTGCTCCAGGGACTTTTCCTGGTTCACAGTAATGCGGTGTGGAATTCTCAGCGTTTTCAGTGCGAATTCCACACCGCATCAGAATAGCACCCCGTTCATGCAAACAGCTGCAGGTGTGTATGTTAACAGCACTCCGAAAGCGGTTCACAAAACGCGGTGTGATGTGCAGAATCAGATGGCATAGGTGTGAATACCTATGCGATCCAATTCTAGTGCGGATCCAAAAAAGGGTCCTGCACGATTCTGGTGCGGTGTGATTAGAGCCATACAAAATGTATGGCTCCAATGGCACTGCACACAAATCGCATGTGATTTGCGCAGGAATGCGGTGCTGTTCCTGTGCGAATCACATGCGATATACAACACAGATGTGAACCCAGGCTCAACATTAAAAATCAGAATTGAAAATACTCAGATAAATGGAGTTGTAACCAATAGGCACCAATCAGATTTCACCATATTTGGGGAAACATTAAAAAGAAGTAGATTGGTTGCCGTGGGATACAAATGCAAGTGTGTGGTATTTTTCTTCTCTCCAGTTTTATTGGACAAGCCCTATAGCTCCTTATGATAATAAGTGACGGATTTAAAATGCTTCTAAAGATCCCCATTTTTTTCAATGCATAAAGCAGGGAAGGTTTAGAATGGGGGTTGGCAACAGGTCATGGCCATGTTGGGGCATGGAAGGTTTTGGAAGAATTTACCGGGCCCTGGTCCCCCTAAGGTTAAGAATCACTGTTTTAAGGCTTTAAAGAGTTTTAGTTTATATTAGACATCCAGAAAACCAGCTACTCTGATAGTTCATAAGTGTAATGTATTTTGCAATATAAAAAAGTACTGTTTGATTTACCCTTGCCATACTCCATAACAGCATATTTGACAGCTGTAATACATTTTATTGAAATTACAATAACATTTTCATTATAAAAAAAGAGCTAAGGAAATATCAGTCATCTTCTGTCGGGAATTGAAGAATTTTTATAGTTGCACATGATTCAAATTTCAGAAGCAGAGAAAAATGCACACGGTATACGTACCATCATTGGACCCCATGCTGATGAGTTCATCGGAGTCCACATTGTAAACAACAGCAGCCTTGTATCCAGCTCTCTGAGCATTCAACACCTATACAGAGAGAGACAGAACGTTATTTTCCAAATCTCACACTTGTAAAAGTGAGAACAATTCTGGCTGGCTTAGTCACACCATTCTCTGCTGTGATACAGAAAAATGATCTGTCCTCACAAAATGCTCTTTACCAAGTACATGCAAACACAACCTAAGTATTTTATTTCATCCTATGCATAGACAATTTACTTCATTATCACTACTTGGCAATACTATCACAGCCTCAGGAGGATCATACTGGAGGCTGCTGGTGCAGCAGAGGTTCTTACTGCAGATGCAGCTGTGGCTGCAGGTTAGGGATGACACAGCATAAGTTCAGACTGTGGATAACACGGAGACTTCAGGTGCTGAAACAGTGTACAGGGGGCACAGAAGAAGCAGAGGCGGAGGTCGTGGGTGCTGCAGAGGCTGTGACAACAGTAGAGATGCCAATGAAAGCTGCAGTGAATGCTTGAGAGATGTAACACATTGTGGATGCTAGCTGAGGTGCAGAAGAGCAGGTTCAGGTGTGCAGGTGTAGCTGAAGTTCAGCAGAGGCTGCAAGGGCAGTGGGGATGCAGTAGATGCTGCAGCAGAATATATATATATATATTTATTTTAGGTGGGTGTATAGCAGGAATATACATATATGATAGTATCCTATACACATTTTCATTTAACTACCCAGATTAAAATCTCTTCTAGTGCAAAAACTAGCTTGAGAGGAAAAACAGAAACAATTAGAAGACTGAGAGTGCATATTTGCGTATAGGACTACGAGCTGGTCCAAACAAACTAATACCTTCACTACTAGATGTGCCCACTGTGTGCTAAATAAACTGTATATAGCCTGAGCTACAGCTACGTACAGTATACAGCGCTGTGTTCCAGAAGCAGTACGGGAACCTCCCACTACAGAGATAAAATAAGAGTTGGGCTGAGTGTTGCTTCTATGAATGAAGACAAAGCTTCATCTGACTGGCTGATGCAGAGAGAAGGGTGAATGACATCATGATCTCCTATTCTATTTAATTCATAATACACAATGCTCTTTGTGAATAGCTGAGCAGGGCTCAGCCCAACTCCATTTTGTTCCACAGGATGGGAAGTCAAGGTCTCACTACCCATACACAGTACTGTATACTGTATTTAGCTGAGGCTACATACAGTTTATACTGTGCACAACAGGAACCTCTAGTAGTGAAGGTAATAGTTTTTATTTGACCAGAATGACACAAACTATTCAAACTTCATTAAACCTAGAGGTCAGCTTTAAGAAGGCTTGCAAGCACCTATCAACAGGATCCTTAAAAAAGGGAACAAATTCAATAGGAACTGTGAGATGTTTACTGAGACTTGAAATTTCTTCTTAAAAGAGAAGTTCACTTTTCGTAACATGTTACACCCATATTCAGGATGTAACATCTTACAATCAGACCAGCCCCTGCCCCCCACTTTGACAGCTAGCAGGAAGTCTTCTCCCCCCTCACTAGCTGTCAAAAAACAAAACAAAATGTGGCTAAGCTGGGCTGCGCCACTCATTCACAGTCCTCTGTGAATAAGAGGCTACAAATCCTGACAGCCTCAGTGGCTGTTGGCTTGCAGCCCTCAATGAACAACCACGGCACTGTGGTGTACAAAACCACAGCACAGAGCAGGTAAGTATGCCATGTTTGTTTTTTTAATTGCCTTTAATATCACTTTAAATATCACTTTCCATAGTATAAATCTCAGCTAAAAGTGCACAATCAATCTGTGCATATATAGGAAAAGTCTTTTTAGACATAGCCAGCCTTACTGCCCAGAGGAGCTAGTCATGGTTTTAGTGTGATACATGCTGCTAGGCAGAGACTAGTGTGCAACACACCAGTAGTGTCTACAGCTGAGAGTATCTGGAGCAAAACTGTAGCTCATATCTCATATATGCAGGGGTGGGAAAATACTATTTTTTTCGCTGCAGGGTTCTAATACTTTCCTCCATACCCTCAAGCAAAAGGAGGTTTTACACCTGGCTCATGAACAGGGTCAGGGTAAATATAGGGGATGTATCATTTTGGGCCTCTGGAAACCAAAGGTTCTAGGAGAGCCAGGAGTTTTCTCAGAATTTAGACAGTGTCAGAGATATATGCTTTTGTTAGGTCCCATGATGTGTGTCTGAGAGGAAGTTAGAGTCAGATACTGGGAGCGATGTCATAATAGGACATTGCTCCGTAACAAGAGAACAGCGGGTGGTCTGGGTCTGGATACAGAAGCCAGGTGCACACAATGTTCCCATGGCTGTGTCTTAATAGTAGATGGAAGTACAAGTACAGCAAAATATGTGCATTTTACCGCATGCTTCTGAGATTAAAGTACAACTAAAGGCAAAACTCTTTTTTTTTTTTTTGTTAGTTTTGGATAGAGAGGAGAGGGATTAGAACTCCTGTCAAATATGATTGCTGTTTGTGCCTCCATTAAGGGGATTCACCCTATTTGTCCTGTTTACTATTATCATTGAAAGTAAGAGAAAATTCTAAATATATGGTTGTCCCCAGAAAAGTAAGAGACAAAATCTTCCAATGAGGACACTGGTTCTGGTGACTTGGGGCTCCCCAAGGAATTCCCTTAATTTGCACGGATTTCCCCTAACGTCCTGTTTGGTTATGGGACAGGAAAAGTAGGGAAATGTCCGCAATAGCACACAGATGGTGAAAAAAAAAAAAATCTGAGAAGGGTTTTAGCCCTCCATTGCTCTATGCAAAATAATAATAATACGAATAATCTGCTTGTGCTGAGAAACACTGGAGACAAAATGGAAGGGCTACCACAATTCATCTATCATTGTCCTAGTGTGCTACACATTGCAGATAGTTAAAAGCTAGGAACTGCTGTCAATATACAGGTAAACCGTATCTTACCTTATCTACAATGATAGGCCTTCTACAGGGCTTGGCCCGTCATGGTGGCCATACCCCTAAAGGAGTCTTCAGTGTCTGGGAGTCCTAAAAATGAGCCACTGCCCTGGACCTGCATAACGCCCTGCGGCTGGCTACAAATGTTGCACTACATGCCAAGGTGAGCATCTGATGCAGGATTCAGTGCCCAAAGCAAACATTAAAAGCCGGCCCTACACAGTGGGGTCTGGCTACAGTCCCCAAGGCTCACAATTAGGGTAATGATCCAGAAACTGCTAGATAGCTCAAGGCAATACACAGTCACATCTTGACACAAGCATAAAGCCTAACTTCAGGTTTCTTGTGACTTTAAATAGTTTGTGGGATACAGCATGGGTGTACAATTTATACAGTGCTTTCAGTGGGCACATCTGATAGTGAAACAAATATGCCAACTGTGCCATTAAAGTCACAAGACTTTAAAGCTGAATATCGCACTTTGTACAGTTACATTTGTCCAGCTTGAGCCCATGTAAGTAGATATGTGCCATACCAGTAGAAGGTGGTAATCAATGTAGTAGGCACTGCTTTTACAGTGATCGCTGCAAGCTTCCAGGTACTGTGCCAAGTGGCTGCCCTGCTACTTACTGAACACAGGAGGCCACCACAGGTGCCATTCAGAGAACACTTTGCATTTTCTCAGTGAATGCAAAGTGTTCTTTGATTGGACAAGATGGAGATTTTGAGGTCACTGTCCTGCCCCACCACCTTATCCAATCAAAGAATGCTTTGCATTCACTGAAAAAATGCAAAACGTTCTCTGAATGGCGCCTGCATAGAGCAAGTGACCTCCTGTATTTACAATGCGGCCAGGCAGCCGCTTGGCTTTGACCAAATAAAAATACTCCAGAGAAGAGTGTAGCAATTGTGCATACAGAGATGGACGTGGTCATCCATCTTGTTAAGAATCTTCCATTTTGTATCATTTCTACTCCCAAATCAGCTTTCCTCATCCCCCCTCCCTCTCTGTTGAGCGACATGTGGTCTGTTTGATGCAGATCACAGGTAACAAACTCATTGGGAGGGCGTCATGGTTATAAATCCCACAACTAGCTGGTTCCCCTCTGTCTGCGAGACTCTTGTTGGAGAAGGGATCGTAAAGCCATAAACCGAGCCCTCACTGAGCTTCAAAAGATATTCCAGGGAGTCGTAAAACAGACTTACATTTTAAAACCCAGTTTTCCATATAATTTTATATCTCCAAATAGGAAATAATTACCCAAACTTGGAGCACATATTCGGTTGGCTCACTCTAATACAAATCGCCTGATACATTACAGCCCCTATATGACATATACAGGAAAGCAGAAAATTATATCTCCTTAACCACTCAAGCAGGTATGTCATATTTCATATCTAACCGCTCAGCAGATGATTCTGGGTATTAATCTACTCGTGGATAGAATATTACATGTACCTAGGAAAAGTTATTGGCCATAGTATAATTTGTGAAGGATTTGGTCATAGCATTAGCTCCCCGCCCACACAACCCCCTCCCCAAATGAGGCGATTGGTTCTATGCTTCAAGGAGACACCCTGTGGAGTTCCTACAAAAAGCTAAGCTATGCTGAGCAAAAGTTGAAGAATTTCTCCAGTTTAACATTGGAACTAACGTTGGGAGATAAGACATCCTTTTGGCTCATGAAACCTGATCTGCTTAAACCAGGATGTTTGGCAAGTACTTCCCTAAATTCCTGTTACCTCTTTGCTGTGGTATTGCTCTATGTATATTTATATATATATATATATATATATATATATATATATATATATATATATATATATATATATAGGCTACATCTTTTTCTGTAAAATATTTTTATTGAACCCTTTTGACCTTTTAGTAATAAATCTTACTTTCTGAAAGTGTTTAACTGTTTCTAAAGCTCTTTAATGCAAACTAAGAATCCCTGCCTCTGAAAAGCGCTAACGTGTGTGTTTTAAACTTTGGTATATCTCTGCCTATGGTGACAGTGGTATACTGATGATTATTCAAACATCATAGTGCTATTGCTGATATTGCCGAGTTTCCTCTTTCTCTGTACAAAAAGGAGGTGGTGGCAGTGTGAAGGGTTAATTGCGTAA